CCATAGGTTCTTGATAAGGAAGAGTCTTAGGAATGTCAATTGTGGAAGATTTCTACAGCCACATAAAGGAGGGATTCTGATAGGGAAGAGAATTACGAAGTATGGGAGTCACCAGAAAGGGCCATTGTAGATCAGATATTCGGTAACGGTGACTGGAATGGGGGATGTAGATATCACTATAGAAGAAGGTGGGTCTAAGGGGCTTAGGAGGAAGTAACTGAGAAAGGATCTTCAAACCCCTGAGTGTGAGAACAACCTATATATGTATCCTCAAGAAGAGTTTCCTGATGGAGAAGAAGGAAGGTAGCAGACGTGGTGTGGAGACTTTGACTCTGGGAGTTGGAGGAATGACAAGGCCAGATTAGGACGTCTTATGGGCTTCAGTGATTGTTCCATCATTAGGCTATGTAAACACAGGAAGGACCACAACATTCCTTGGATGTTTGCTCATCAATGCTTGTCCACATTTGCTGTTTTGTTCTCTATATGACAAGAAAACTTAGTCCAGATGTGACCCATAAGAACTTGGAAACAATTTGAATCTAGTCAGTCACATTGGATCTACAAAGCAATACTTGTTGTTTTTGCCTGAAATCCGCCACATCTGTCAAACACCCCAAATATGATTATTCATGGAGTAAAATGTTAAGATGTTATATTTTTGTTATCACAAAGTAGCAGTGCTGTGATTTCTCTGTACAACAGAATTTTGGCTATGGACAAAATTAAATAATTTGTTTGTTTTGGAGACAGGATCTCACTCTGTCACCCAGGCTAGAGTGCAGTGGTGTGATCTTGGCTCACTACAATCTCACTGTCCTGGACTCAAGCGATCCTCCCACCTCAGCCTCCCAAGTAGCTGGGACTACAGACATATGCCACCATGCTTGGCTAATTTTTGTATTTTTTTATAGAGACAGGTTTTCACCATGCTCACTCCGGGTCTCAAACTCCTAGACTCAAGTGATCAACCCACCTTGGCCTCCTGAAGTGCTGGGATTACAGGTGTGAGCTACCGCACCTTGCCAAAATTAAATAATTTTGATTTTCACCTTAGTATGATTTTAAGTGTACATCGTGATACCTAGCTCTATAAGAATAAAAATAACTTTTGCTTCCTTTGATTCTTAAAATCTTGAAGGTATTTTTCCTCTGACACAACTAACTGGCTTGAAATCAGCCTGTGTTTTTTCAAAGCTTGGGTTTCCTTCAGTTTTGTCTCTCTGTCAGGTGAAGAGTCGACGTTATTAACATTACCTTCTTCTCTCACTTTAAACAGAAAATTCCTCTCCTTTGTCACATCACATGAAAATAAAAAAATGCAAAGGAAGTGACAGTCTTAAATTCTTTAGTACGGTAAGCCAATTCAAAGGGAAAACAATGATAACACTTTGCCATGGGATATTTTTGGTAAAACCATTCGTTGAAATTCTGTTTTGAAATACCATTTCGTATTGCATGACATAAACCACATTTCTGTTATCCACAAGTCAAATAAAGGGCTTTTGAGGGGGAAGACAATCAGTATGAATTTTCCATATTAGAGCTTGGCTATGGCAGTCATGGGATCTGAAAGTACTCTGAGGGTCCAAGAAGAAGGGGCAGTTACCTAAGTAATTCTCTTTTTTTTTTTTTTTTTTGAGACAGACTTTTCTCTTGTTACCCAGGCTGGAGTGCAATGGCGCCAAGTAATTCCCTTTTTATGAGCACATCCAAGATATGTCACCCTGCACCCCACACCTCTAGCACCATTTCTGAGACAACTCTCCTGGCTCCCTGCATGTGATCAGGCTTTTGAAAGCTGCCTGTCATATAACCCATGGAAGACAGTATTTTAAAAATTACTGCTCTCAGGCCAGACACGGTGGCTCACGCCTGTAATCCCAGCACTTTGGGAGGCCGAGGTGGGTGGATCACGAGGTCAAGAGATAGAGACCATCCTGGTCAACATGGTGAAACCCTGTCTCTACTAAAAATACAAAAATTAGCTGGGCATGGTGGCGCACGCCTGTAGTCCCAGCTACTCCGGAGGCTGAGGCAGGAGACTTGCTTGAACCCAGGAGGTGGAGGTTTTGGTGAGCCAAGATCACGCCATTGCACTTCAGCCTGGGTAACAAGAGCGAAACTCCGTATCAAAAAAAATAAATAAATAAATAAAAAATTACTGCTCTCTGGGTAATCTAGTCCATTACATGAAAAACACTGTAGTGTTTTTTTGGTAATAAAAACGTTTGAAAAATCATGTACGGAAAATTCCTAGATTTTCTCTCTGAACTAAATTCTTTTTATTATATTTTTAATAAGAAATAAGAGTAGGAGGAAAGGCTTGCATATATTCTGGTAACCTGGATATCATTGCAAAAGCTGGGTAAATGTGGAAAAGTATACATCCAACTCTTCAATGACAAGAAGAAGTTAGTAAATATTCTCATTAGGAAAAGGAAGATAATTACAGTCACATCAAGTTGGTTCCTACCTCTGGGCTCTTGCAGTTTCTGTTCCTTCTTCCTCTTACATTCTTACTCCTTTTCCAGGCTGGTGTTTTCTCCTCAAATGTCACCTTCTAGGTCTCAGCTCAAATGTCATCATCTCAGAGAGGCTTTCTTGAACCTCAATCTGATACCTTTCCGTTCATTCCCAACTCTTATCACATTTCTTGGTTTAAATTTTTTCTTAGCACATATCCTGACCTGAAATCACCTATTTATATACTGCTTTTCTGGTTTAACTGTCTCCCTAACTTGGTTGTAAATTCCAAAAACTTATCAGTTTTTTAAATTGTAGTAACTTGGATGCTAAGAATAGTGCCTGAAATGGACGTGGATGGACAATGAGATAGCAGTATTGTCATATTTAGAAAAACAAAAGAAGTTAATAGGTAGACCTCGTTGAACAGCTTGAGGGAGTAAAACATTAAAAATTTTATTACAGTAGAAATATTGATACAGTTTGTTGTTATATTTATAATTGGTTGTTATATTTATAATTGTTTATCTAAAGCACATGCTCATTAGGGCTGTGTTTGTCAACATCACAACTTTGGGAACCAAAGTGGGGTGCACCTAGAGGGCTCTTTTCCAGATTCCAGAACACTGGCATCAAAGAGGACATCTCTCCCATACCAGTTGTATTAGGATGTTTTAGCTTCATGTAATTAAAATCCTGACTCTAATTGGGTCAAAACATAGTCTTATGGAAGGACGGGCTCAGCGCTGGTTGATTTAGCAGTTTAAAATGTCATCAAGGATTCTGGCTCTCTACGTCTCTCTGCTCTGCCATCACTGGATGTCATCCCTTTGAGGCAGGACAAAGTCTGAGGATGAAGAGAGAATGTTTTCTTTTTTTTCCCCTAGACTTGCCCCAGAAGACTTCCTCATAGGTCTCGTGGGCCATAATTAGGTAGCATACCCATTGTTAAACCAATCATTGGTGAGGGAATGAAATTACACATTAGATAATGAAATTACACATACAGATAAGTCTATACCTGAGCTTGGGGGAGAGGAAGGCATGTGAACAAAATGGAGGTTCTTTTGGGAAGGAAGAAACAGGGAAGTGCTGTATATTTAGTCTGCTGTTCCTTGTTTGGAAGCAATAGATAATGATGTTGCTAAAACTTTTTCTCCTAAATTTTGTATTGTTTAGTCTGATGGGTAAAGACTGCTTCAAGATTCTGGGGACTGAGATGGAATGGAGACCCATACCTTAATCCAAACTTGGACTTGGATTAAGTTCAATCTTCTGCTCAAGAGCTTCAAGGGGAGCTCCCATTTCAGTGCCCAGCCAGCTTCTACTCCAAAGCGGGAAAGAGAAAGAGGAGACTTGGGTTCCTCTTTTAGCTTTTTGATCCCTGTCTTTGTCCTTAGAGAATTACAAACTATTCTGGAGAACCCATCCCATTTCAATATGCTTTTAAATTATGTTATCTTATCCTTTATTCCCAAAGCCTAAGAAAAATGTATGGAGCTACTTTAGGGAGTTGAGAGAGGAGGAGGTTGAGTTGTCAAAATGGAGGGAATGGTGCAACCATTTCATTTCCTGTTCACTTCCTCTATGCAATCTGTTCACATCTGACCAAAGTAGCTTTTGCCTTTTCTCTTTTTTGAGATGGAGTCTCGCTCTGTCACCCAGGCTGGAGTGCAGTGGTGTGATCTCAGTCACCACAACCTTCGCCTTCCAGGTTCAGGCGATTCTCCTGCCTCAGCCTCCTGAGTAGCTGGGACTACAGGTACCTGCTACCACGCCTGGCTAATTTTTGTATTTTTAGTAGAGATGGGGTTTTACCATATTGGCCAGGCTGGTCTCGAACTCCTGACCTTCTGATCCGCTCGCCTCGATCTCCCAAAGTGTTGGGACTACAGGTGTGAGCCACTGTGCCTGGCTACTTTTGCCTTTTATATAATTCTACTATTGGAGCTTTTTAAATGTCCCATGACAGAATGAGACCAAGGACAAAACAGATAATATGAATTACGATTCAAAATATTCAAGATTCCTCAGCCTCTATGCCATTACCAATTGCTGACTATATGAGGGTGGTTTAAATGCAAGAGGTATGTCAAGCCAGGAAATGTCATGGAATAGTGGGATTTGCTGTTTGATGATACATTCTTAATACTTTTTAACATCTTAAACATTTTGTAGTAGATTTCAAAAATGAGGAGGGCTAGCCTTGTGGTTTTTTTTGTTTTGTTTTTTATTTGTTACTTGTACCTTGATAGATCAGGGCTCTTCTCACTCCTCATTCCATATCTGATCACTGACTTAGTTTTGTCCTTGCCACAGCCACTAACTCAGTCTTGGCCTTTGCCAAAGTACAAACAAATCCTGTTATTCTTGAAATTTCTCAATTACTTTGTAAGTGCTTCACTGATAAAAAGACTGGCTTCTAATCTGTCTCTGATGTCCCCAGGTAGCCATTACAAGACCAGACAGAAAGGGGAGGAAAATCAGTGTTTTTGATTTTTTGTTGATATTTTCTCTTCTCCTTTTGGTTTTAGAGTCTAACGTGAAGACATTTTGCTCCAAGAATATCCTAGCCATCCTTGGCTTCGCCTCTATCATAGCTGTGATAGCTTTGCTTGCTGTAGGACTGACGCAGAACAAAGCATTGCCAGAAAATGTTAAGGTAAGTCAAATATGTGTGTGTGTTTGTGTGTATGTGTATGTAAGAAGGGATCTGGGTGGGATGGGGGAGGAGGGGTAAGGCATATAGAGCATCGGGGAGGAGTTGAGGTTCTAATAGCCCAGGAACAAGTCCATTTTCACTGGATTAGGTGAGTAAAATGGAAATGGGTGCTCATTCTAGAAGAGAAAATGCCTTGAATCAATTAGTGGTGGGAAGATAATTGCCTCTATGATTGTTTAGCAAAAACTCATTAAATTGATACTCTGACAGAAATGAATGCTTTACTCACCTCCTCCAGATCTGTGTAATACTATGCCAGGATTCTATATTCTGGTATATTTCTACTTCTTCATCATGGGTGGATCACAGTACTGACTCTGTTCTTTTTACTTCATTATTATCACTATCACCAAAACAATAATGCTTATTACACAACTCTGTATAAAGCACTTTGGAAGTCAGAGATTGTGGAGAAGACATGTTATCTCCAGATATAGTAAAGAATCAAAAAAATCAGTAAAAGCAAATCAGAAAACATATACATGTATCGAGTATAGTCATTTGAAATGAATTCATGGATAGGCAGATTTCTTGTGAAATCTCTACATTTGAACAACTAGTTAATATTATTAAAAATCATTAGGATCATTAACTTTAATGTATTTCTGTTTTCTTTCCAGTTCATCAAAGTAAAATTTCAGACATGAATATCTCACAAGTACTTTGTAATACGGTCATTATTTAATCAGTTAATTAAAAACTATGTGGTAAATCAAACTTTATATTATAAATATACCATTTTAAACTTTCACTGAAATTATAGTAAACAAATATACAAGGGCCCTGATGATACCAATATGTTAATAAGCATGTATGCACCTGTGGGCAGTAATATATCCAGAAGTTAACTTGGCCATGGAGGCCTGGGAATACATGTGTAGAAGTATATTCTCTTGGATTTGAAGATGTTGAACTGGGAGCCTGGAAGGATGGTTGCATATACCAGGCCCTGGCGCCTGGTGATGGAGTGAGACTCTGCCTCAAAAAAAAAAACAAAAACAAAACCATACACCAGGCCTCTGAAACTTTTGCCATCCACCCAAATCACTGTATAGAAGAAGCGTGGGTGTCACACTGGCATCTTTTTGTCAAGTTCAACCCAGTGGGGCTGTGTACAGCAGCCCCTTTGTCAAGATAAAAGGCTGATACTATCTCATTGTGAAGGGTCGCTTGCCTTTTAATGTTGAGTGATGTTGTTTCCTTGGCAAAACTTCACTCACAGTTGAAGCCTCATGACATCTTGGTTCCATTATTTGTTTACCAGCTCCAAAAATACATGATTGCCTTCTTAATTTGACCTTTTTGCATGTTCAGTATTGCATCATTGGAGAGGGGGACGCCTAGGAGGCAAAATCCATGACAAACTTGAATTATGTTCCCAAAAATATGTGTGGTCATGGACAACCTTCCCTCATTCACAGTGGTCTTCTTCAAGTCTATTGTGCTTCTGCATTGTTATATGGGCCTGGAAAAATAGAACAAGGTCTTTGGCCTTCTTTAAATAAAAGGTAGGAGTATTGAAGAACAGTCATTGGCATCTGAAGTGAATCTTTTTAATAATATCACTGATTTATTTTATACAAAGATAATTTTATTTATGCAAACTAGCCATTTGTTTAGGTTATACAATAATTTTAGTAAGATTCCTGGCATATATTGGGGGCAAAATATTTCAGGAACTTGTATTCTGGTGATGGCTCTAAACCAGATGTGCTGTCCCATTTGATAGCCACTAGCCACATGCAGCCCTTTACAGTTGTCAATTAAAATTAAATAAAATAAAAAAATTCTGTCCCTATGTTGCACTAGCCACATTTCAAGTGCTCAATAGCCACACATGGCTGGTGGCTACTGAATTGGACAACACAGGTAAAGAATATTTCCATTGCTGCAGAAAGTTCTATCAGACATTGCCACTTTAAAGCATACTCTTTAATGATAACTCTGAAATCATTCCAAACTAAGTTTAATGAATAAGGCATATAAGACATTTTATAAAATCTACAATAAGAAACAAACTCTTTTTCTTGCATGATCTGTAAACTATTTCAGGATCATCCCAAATATGATGGGCTACTAAACTGTTTTGAGTAGTTTATTGAAATAAATATATTTGCTTCCAAAAATGACCATTTAAAAGATAATACTTGTTTGGATATTTGTACATGTGTTTTAAGGACACACAATGATATGACTTTATGACCATACCTCATTCAGCAGTTCTTCATTCATTTTTCATAAAATTATGCATTGAAAATTATTTATTGCACTCCAGCCTGGGTGACAAGGTAAGACTCTGTCTCAAAAAAAAGGGCCACATTTTAAAAAGCAGAAGAGGTGAAATGAACTTTAATAACATATTTTATGTAGCCCAATGCATCCAAAATATTATTTCAACATTTCATGAAAATAGTTGTTGGCTGGGCGGGGTGGCTCACGCCTGTAATCCCAGCACTTTGGGAGGCTAAGGCAGGCAGATCACGAGGTCAGGAATTCAAGACCAGCCTGGCCAACATAGTGAAACCCCGTGTCTATTAAAACTACCAAAAAAAAAAAAAAAAAAAAAAAGCCAGGCATAGTGGCGGGTGCCTGTAGTCTCAGCTACTTGGGAGGCTGAGGCAGGAGAATCACCTGAACCCAGGAGGTGGAGGTTGCAGTGAGCCAAGATCATGCCATTGCATTCCAGCCTGGGCAACACAGCGAGACTGTCTCAAAAAAAAAAATTGTTAGTGAGATATATTATATATTTTTTTCATACTATCTTCAAATTTTAACTTACGGCATATCTGAATTCCAACTAGTCACATTTCAAGTGCTCAATTGCCAGCTATTTGTTACCCTGTTAGATAGTACAGGCCTAGATTAAAGGTATGTCTCTAATGGCATTGATTGACTGAAGCCTTAGAAATGGAAGAGGTAATCTAGAAAGGGGGTGTAAAGTGAGAAGAGGGTCAAGGTCCAACTCCTGGGAAGCTCTGTCATTTAAAGCAGGGTCCCCATCTCCCAGACCACAGACCAGAACAGCCTGAGGTAAGCAGTAGGTGAGTGAGCAAAACTTCATCTGTATTTACAGTTGTTCCCCATCACCTACATTACTGCCTGAGCTCCATCTCCTGTCAGATCAGTGTCGGCATTAGATTCTCATAGGAGAGCGAACCCTATTGCAAACTGCACATATGTGGGATCTGGATTGCATGCTCCTTGTGGGAATCTAATGCCAAATGATCTTTCAGTGTCTCCTGTCACCCCCAGATGGGACTGTCTAGTTGCAGGAAAACAAGCTCAAGGCTCCTATTTATTCTACACTATAGTGAGTTGTATAATTATTTCATTATATATTACAATGTAATAATAATAGAAATAAAGTGCACAATATCCCGAAACCATTGCTCCCTCCTCACCACCCCTGGGTCTGTGGAAAAATTGTTCTCCAAGAAACTGGTCCCTGGTGCCAAAAAAGTTTGGGACCACTAATTTAAAGGGTGAATAGGGAAGGAATTCCTCCTAAAGCATAATGATAACATTATGTAGTGCTTTGCAGTTATAAATCATTTCCACATGCATTTCCATTGTTTCTTCCCATGAGTGTTGTGAAGAATGGAAGGTTATCCCCATTTTATACATAACAAAATCAAAACCTTAGATGTTCTCTAACCGAAGGCAAAGGTTGAGCTAAAACTAGAATTCCAGTTTTCTGATCCGAAGACTAATGTTCTTTTCATTTGTCTTAGTGAGTTTTTCCAAACAACACATCCTATTAACAGAAATTGCATGCAGGATGTTTATTTTGGGAGGTAATTCCAAGGAAACAAAGAGGGAAAGCTACCCCAAGAGAGAGTTAGGAACAAATTACCACATTGGGCAACTGAGGCTTGATCCTCCCAGGGACCCCCTGAAGAGCTGCGGAGTGAACTTCAGAATTGTCTGCCCTAGGGATTTATCCCTGGTTCTTACCACCTGTTGGTCAAGGGTTGCTCCCATCTGGTGTTAAGTCCCTGTCACTTCCATGTTTGCACGTGTGTCACAGGGGCCATGTGGGTACCGTAGGTGATGACCTAGGCAGCAGGAGATAAGCTCCTGAGCAGAAATAGAGAAACAAGGAGATACTGCTGGGGCTGGAGTAAAAAGTTGGCCAAGATGTGAAATGGACACGAGAGGTATCTGAAGTATCATTGTACTTCCTGCTTTCTGTGGAGGTGAGGATTCTTTGTACAAATAATTTCAATACAATAGAGATATAGTCATACAGAGATAGGCAGGCAGCGCTATGAAAGCCCAGAGAAAGAAGCCGCCAATTGTGCCTGATTACATGGAGAATTCCCAGAGAAGGTGGCCTTGGAGCTGAGTCTTAAGTGCTATGACTTGAATGTTTGATCCCTCCAAAACTCATGTTGAAACTTAATCCCCAGTGTAATAATATTAAGAGGCAGGGACTTTAGGAAGTGGTGGTGGGTCATGAGAGCTCTGACCTCATGAATGGATTAATTCATTCATCGATAAATGGATTGAATTATCACAGGGTGGGTTAGTTATCATTAGAGTAGGTCTGTACTAAAAGCTAGTGTGTCTCTCAGTATGCCCCCTTTGCCATATGATGCCCTGTGCCACCTTGGGACTCTGCAGAGAGTCCCCACCAGAAGACCCTCATGAGATGTTGCCTCTTGACCTTGGACTTCATAGCCTCCAGAACTGTAAGAAATAAATTAATTTTTAAAATAAATTACCCAGTCTCCAGTATTCAGTGATGGCAACAGAGAATGGACTAAGACAGATGGTAAGGAGTTTTCCAGAAGGTGGTGTAGGACGACATGTTCCAGACAAAAATCATATCATGTGTTGGAGAGTGACACCTTGTAATCGTGAGCAATCCCCTGGGGAATCAGCAGCTCAGTATGGCTGGAATGTTGAATATGGGGGCAGGAAGGAGTGGTGGAAGATGA